TTCATCCTCTTTGGAACCCCCTTTCAGGTAGTTGAAAGCAGCTATCAAATCCTCCCTCATTCTTTTCTTCTGTAGACGAAACAATCCCAGTTCCCTCCTCCTCTCCTCATAAGTCATGTGTTCCAGTCCCCTAATCATTTTTGTTGCCCTCCGCTGGACTCTCCAATTTTTCCACATCCTTCTTGTAGTGTGGGGCCCCAAACTGGACACAGTACTCCAGATGAGGCCTCACCAATGTCAAATAGAGGGGAACGATCACGTCCCTCGATCTGCTGGCAATGCCCCTACTTATACATCCCAAAATGCCATTGGCCTTCTTGGCAACAGTTGGGGGGAAGGTGGGAGGGAACAGAACTGGAAAGAATATCCCAATTCTACTGTGCTCAGGATCCACCGGTCTCAGGTTATTTGGGCCCAAGCACGGTAGAAATGGGATAGATGGTTCACAAAAGGTGGGGAAGGATCCAGGATGTGGACTGGTGCATTGCCCCAGGGCGCACTTTCAAAAAGTTTTCTTGGAAAAGCCGGAGACTGCCTCGTCGAGCCCTGGCCCTGGTTCAAGGAGGACTGTGGGGGCCTTCACCTATTATTTCTACCCCATTTTCTGCTATAGGCCTGTCTCTGCGGAGAGGGGTAGAAGTGAAGCAGGAGCTGAGGCTTAAAATGCTTCTTCTGCAGGGCTGGCGTGTGGAGACCCAGTGACTTTACGGTTGCCCTAGAGTCTTTTAGGTTGTCAAAAGGCAAGTCCTGGATAGCCTGCTGTACCTCTGGTGAGAGGCCTGAGACCTGCAGCCATGAGCTTTGGCGCACAACAATGGCAGTGGACATTGTGCGGGTGGCCGAGTCCGCTGCATCCTATGCAGCCTGGAAGGAAGACCTTGCAATCGCCTTATCCTCCTCGAGAGCAGCTCCCAAGTTGGATCGAGAGTTTGTTGGTAGGAGCCCCTTAAACTTGGACAGAGTTCCAAGAATTAAAATTGTAGTGGCTGAGCACTGCTTACTGATTAGTAATTCGAAGCTGGAGCTCTCCGGTGGAATAGACCTTACAGCCTAAGAGGTCCAACTTCTTTGCCTCTTTGGATTTTGGTGTAGGACCTTGCTGCCCTTGCCTTTCCTTGGTGCTGGCCATGTCCACGACCAGCATACCTGGTTGAGGGTGGGTGAAAAAGGTATTCATACCCCTTGGAAGGTACAAAGTATTTCCTTTCCACCCACTTTGTCGTGGGAGGAATGGAGGCAGGAGTTTGCCACAGGGTCTTTGTGGTGTTATGAATGGTCTTGATCAAGGGCAAGGCCCTTCTGGCATCAGAATATCCACCATAGGATCTATGTCTTCTGATGCCTCTTCTGCCTGAAGACCTAGGTTTTGAGCTACTCTTCATGGGCCCTACTTGTCCATGGCTGGCAAAGAGGAAGATGAGCCCACTACTGCATTGTCTTGGGAGGAAGATGAAGAAGCCCCCGTGGGCACAGGTTCCTCCCTCAGTGATGCCGCCTGTGTAGTGGCGGGCATGGTGCGGCCTCGGTGCTGACTTCAGTGCTGGCCTCAGTGCCAGGTTGGGTGCTGGGCTCCGGATCAAGTATCAGAGGGGTAGCCATGTTAGTCTGGATCTGTAAAAGCGGCAAAGAGTCCTGTAACACCTTATAGACTAACAGACATATTGGAGCATAAGCTTTCGTGGGTGAATACCCACTTCGTCAGATACATCTGACGAAGTGGGTATTCACCCACGAAAGCTTATGCTCCAATGAGACTGTTAGTCTATAAGGTGCCACAGGACTCTTTGATCCTTTTGGAGGAGGTTCCCTCACCATCGAGGAAGATGGGGAGGCCCTGTCTGTCTGAGGCTACAGACAGATACCTGGAGCTTGGCCCCTGGGCTTGATGGAATGCCAAGGGGGTCCAGAAAGGCCATTGCTTAGAAGCTTTCCATTGAGGGGATCCCAGGGCATTTTAGGGATCTGGTGTGCCTCCTTCACTGGGAACAATGAGAATGGTGCCGGCTCTGCCTGGAGATATAGGACTCAGGCTCAGAGGTTGAGTCCAACCTTGAGGACCACAGGGGTGCCATGTGGGATGGTTTTAGAGAGCGGTGCCTAGGAGAGCGATGTCCAGGTGAGGGGGACAGTTGATGAAGCATGGCTGGTTTGCCCTTGGAGAAAACTGGCCCCTTGTGTGGTGCTGGAGACTGCTGGCCTGTCATCTCTATGAGGTCCCTTGCAGCCTAAAATGTGTCCGGGGTACATGGCAGGTCCAACTCCCATATTTGGCTCTTCCGTGCCAGTGAGTACAATGTGACTGGACTTGATGGTTCCACCTGTGCAGCCGGAGTCAACAGAGCCAGTTTTGCCTGAGCAGGAGTTGAGTGTCCCAGCATGGGATGTACTCCGTGGGCACCATGGCACTCCACTGCTCTGACTGTTGGCAAACGCCCCCTCTCAGCTCTTCTTTGCTTCTTATGCAGCACCAGTGAGTGTGACCAGTGCCAAGAGGCCGTCGAACTTGTCTTTGATGCCGGACAGTGGCAGTGTCGTGAGTCTCTGGGTGCCGGGTCCTTTACCAGCACGGCGGCCTTTCTTACCGAGGCCAGTCTGCTCCACACCAAAGTGCTGGATTTTGGTGCCAACACAGGCTGTGCCAGCTGGGGGGCGAAGAGCCGACTTCATAAGGAGAAGCTTAAGTCTGAAATCCCTCTCCTTTTTTGTTCTTGGGTGGAAGCTCCTGCAGATCTTACACTTATCAGTCTGATGGGCCCCGCCTAAGCACTTTAAGCAGGAATCGTGAGGCTCTTCCCTGGGCATAGGCTTCTGACAGGACCCACAGGGTTTGAAGCCTTGAGATCGAGGTATGCCCCAGTCCCCAAAGGGGAGAGCATGCGGGGAGCAGCCCCCAACAAAGCCCCTTAACTACTAACTAACCATTAAAACTAACAATACTATGCTAATAAAACTATTTACAAAACAAAGACAGGAAATGCTAGGGAATCGCTTGCCCGAGGCGAGAGAGAAACTCCAGTGGCCATCACTGGTGGTAAGAAGGAACTGAAGAAGCAGCAGGTCGGCAGGGACCTATATACACTGCCATGAAGCTGCCATTTTAGGGGGCTCCACAGCTGATCCAACGGGTACCACTCGGGGAAAACCTTCCGACTGTGCATGCGGTGCACACACCTACTCGGAACTGACATGAGCAATCACTTGAAGAATTTTGGGTTTATACTCCAGAGGGGGTGCGTGTCTGAGGAGTTGCCTTAGCTGTAGCCTTCCTATGCAGGGACTGGTCAGAAAGCTTGCATGCAACTGCTGCTGGGTGTGTCCCTACCTGTATGTATGCTGGTGAAAGTGCAGGCTGGAGGGCTCTGCAGCTTGTCTCAGGAGTATAGCATGAGAGGGAGCCCAGGCTGGTAGGTCAGGGGGCTCAGTGGTACCCCAGTTCCAGGTGGAACCCCAGGGGGAACCCATCACAATGCTGTATGCTTGATTCTCCTTGATAAGTCCAAGGAAAGTGACCTAAGAGGAACCTCCAAGAAAAACTTTTAAGTAATTGCTTTTGATGCTTTAAATTTGTCCCTTTCAAAACAAACTAGAAGTAGGAGGGACCACACTTATAAGAGTGACTTAAAAAAGTTTAACTTTACTCCTTGGAGAAATACTTTGAAGTACAATAAATGTATTAGAAATACTGAAGAAATTAATAACTGATGATTATAAGTAAATGTAATAAGACATTTTAACAATTTTATGTTGTATGGAATAACTGCTTGAATCCAACACTGGTCTACGTCAATAGCTTTCAAGACTGTATGTTGTGCTCAGTGAATGCCTGGAACATCTGGTACCCAAACTTAATCTATAAACCTCTTTAAACTGTTGATTATATACCTTGGTGGTTCTTGGCAAATTAATAAAACTTGTTGATTGGTTAAGAATAACTAAGGTTATGTCTACACTTAGAGCTGGGGTTGGGATTCTCAGCTTGCACAGACATACTCGCACTAGCTCTCCTTGAGCTAGCATGCTAAAAATAATAGTGTAGCTGAGGTAGCATAGGCAGTGGCAAGGGCTAGCCTTGCTGAGTGCATACCCACAGAGTTCAGGCTGGTTTGCACTCAGCACAGCTAGCCCATGTTACCAATCACCACTGTCCATGCTACACTAGTATTCTTAATATGTTGGCTCAATGAAAACTAGTGTGAGTATGTCTATGTGACATGGGAATCGTACTCCTTGCTATCCCTAAGTGTCCTGATTTGAAAAAGTACTGTCCAAAGTAAGAGATGAGAAGAACCTAGTGTTAAGATTAGTCAACTAATGCTCTCTGGACTCAATATTACATGTCACTCAAGTATCAGCTAAAATATCTACCAAATTGGCCAATCTTGTTTGTTAGATTTCAGCTTTAAAATGTAACTGGCACCCTGGCAAATTCATAAATTTGACCCCTTCACTTCACTTTTACACCCTATTCGATTATCTGTAGGATCCTTCAGTTTGAAGATTTTGCCTTTTATACATGTACAAATTGGGACACAATTAGTCCCCAAAAAGTGGGACAGATGAAGAAAGATGACCTTGGTGTGATCATATCCTCCAACTGGATGGCTAGAAGAAGCAGTAATTGTTTGTCAAGCTACTGCAGCTGAGGCCTAGGAAGATTACCTCTTCCTCCTCCTTTGGGGTTTAAAGGACTTCCTGACTATTCGGGCTTTCTGTCTATAACTTAGTCCTGATGAAGACTGCTGAAACTGCTACCTTGAATATGAAAGTAGTTTGCTTTTGAAAGCTGGATGACCCAACTGGTAGAACATTTTCTTCGGTTTTATTGCCAGTTGTGATCAAAATACAAAAAAATACTTCAGAAAAAGAGGCCAGAATTTACTACTGTACTCTCAAAGATTTTCTGTACTGCAAGGAATTCAAGCATACGTACAACCACAAAATAACTTTGCTAAACATGCAAGAAAAGTTATTAAAAATTGAATTCCTATGCATTTTCTTACCAAAGCAAATTCATGCGATACTCTTCCATCTGGGGGCAGTTTAGCCCCAAAACCTAGAGCAGGAAACATTTTGTCACTATCATAATCTTGAATGATTTCACCTACTGCCTTCAGTGCCATGCCATAAGCATTCAGTTGGTATGGGTTCATATAGTGGAGCGAGGTGGGCTGTGCAGGGTTACCTGTTAAAACATAAAGATCAGATGTATGTTATAATGGATTCACTTGGGAATGCAACTCAGCTTTGAAGCCAGGAAAGTGTCCTTTTTCCAGGGAAAATCCAAGATATGCAATCTGGTAGACTAAGCTATCAAATGACAGAGTCGTCACAGAATTGTCTCTTCTCTGGAAGAGGTTCATTGCAAATATTCTCACATAAGTCTGAAAAGCTCACTATTTCACAAACATGAAGGATGAGATTTGAATAAAATTGGAACACACAACTGAGTATTCAGATAGGAAAAGCAAAATAAGTATGTTTATTAAAAGGGCAGAAATTTTGTTTACGAGCAGATAAATGACTGGGCGTAGACATTACAGCACCTTAAGTGAATAAAGCCTAAGAACACTATAATCAATATGATAATACAGCAAACATCTTTACGTCAAAGACAAACGAATATATGAAAAGGAATCTCACTGACAAAATAGAAAAGCTCAATACAAGGGTGGGATTCAAACTGACAGGTAGAACCTACATCTTGTCAGTGATGCTCAAGCTTTGACAGACCATGAGTGACTGACATACCAAGCTAAAGATGTAAGCATTTGATTGTCCGATTTCTCTTACTACCTCTAAGTATGTACCAGTGAAGATTAGTTTTACCTATACAAAGACATGCTTTCATACCATATATATTATTCTTGATGAGCATCTCTCTTACTTTTCCTAATAAACCGTGTTTATTTAAACTTCTTCTGATCTTAAGACTGTTTTGGGGTTATTTACAGAGCGCTAATCTGTGAGAGGTAAAATAACCTTTTATCTCTACAGAGAAGTAATGAAGGGGATCTGTTACCTAAGTCCATTCAAGACTTTTGTTCAGAAGCAAGGAATAGAGTCCACGGTTTTATAAAAGTGCAACTAATGCCAGGGTTGTGTTTGACCCAGTACATTACAAAATCTAATGACAATGACCAAGAGTCAAGTTACAGGGGTCTAAGGTAATACTATGTATTTATATGTTGTAGCTACTACATAAAAGGTTTTTTTTGCTCAGGAAAGAAAACTCCTGAAATTTCTTAAACTCATCTGCCATAGTCTTGCACTGCGTTTGTAATGTTAGGGTGGTTGTGATTCATGGTCATGTAAGCAGCGATATCCCCTCCTGCCCCTGATGCAAGTGGTGAAAATGGGAGTAGTCTTGCCTCTTTTCCCAAATGCTTTTGCTGGCATAGCTCTGTTAATGCACACGGAAGCACACCAACACAAACCCTCTTGCTTCTCATGACTGAACCTTTAATTTATGGAATAGCTTGATTTGAAAGCTCAAACCTTCCCCTCCAAAAATCCCAGATCAGACAAGCATTTTCAAATTTTTCTTTAAAAAAGGAGTTCAACACAAACTACGAATTGCTGAAGTCTGTGATGCTCATATTTTAGATGCCATTATTCAACAGATACCAATAAGTGAGGTTTGTGGGGCTGCAGCCAAAGAAGGAAGCACTAAGATATGCTTTCCCTACTTGCATCCCTAGAAACTAGCCCGTGGCCTGTGCTTGGCACATCACAGCACTTCCTTCTTTGGCAGTGCAGCCAGGGAAGGAATTGCTGAGGTATATCAAGCCCTGGAGAGTACAGGGGGAGGTCCCATGCAGCCTTGTGGGTCCTTAGTACTCCTGCTCCCTGTGGAAAGCATTGGTGACTGGGCTGCAGCCCCCCTCGTTTTTCAGAGTCCTGGTACTGCAGGTTGGGAGGGAAGTCTGCAGGGAGAGTAGCAGTGGGGTGGGAGACTGCAGCCCAGAGCTGGAGCTTTACACAGGAAACAGGTGTTCTGGGTGCCTGCAGGGCTACATGGTACCTCTCCCTACACTTTCTGAGGTGCACTCTGCCCTGGCACCAGGGACCCAAGCTTCACGCGTCCCAACCCTTCCCTTCCTGATTGTAACGCAGCAGCAAGTTTGCAGTGCTGCAGCCAGGGAACAAAGTGATGGGACATGCTGAGCATTAGCTACAGGCTGCTTCCTTCCCTGGCTCCAGCCCCAGAAAATTCCCTGTTGCAGGAGCTTTTCACAACAAGTTGTGGTGCTAGGGCCCCATGGGGCTGCATCACAAAAAAAAAAAAAAAAAAAAAAAATTCAATAAGTGGCATATTAGTAACCAGAAGTTGTCAATACCATGATTGTTAATAACCGGCATACGCTGTATATGTTTCAATTCTTTTCAAATATCAAAATTATTTCCCATCTGTGCTAGTGGAGTACAAGGTATTAAAAATTTCAAAAGTAGCCTTTAATTTTGGATAGGGCTGTCAAGAGATTAAAAAAATTAATTGCGCTTAATCGCACTATTAAACAATAATAGAATACTCTTTATTTAAATATATTGGATATTTTCTACATTTTAAAATATATTAATTTCAATTACAAAACAGAATACAAAGTGTACAGTGCTCGCTTTATATCTATTTTTTATTACAAGAACCTGCACTGTGAAAAAACAAAAGAAATAGTATTTTTCAAATCACTTAATACAAGTACTGTAGTGCAATCTCTTTACCATGAAAGTTGAATTTACAAACATAGAATTATGGAAAAAAACTTGAATTCAAAAATAAAACAATGTAAAACTTTAGAGCCTACAAGTCCACTCAGTCCTACTTCTTGTTCAGCCAATCGCTCAGGCAAACAAGGTTGGTTACATTTGCAGGAGATAATGCTGCCCACTTCTTGTTTACAATGTCACCTGAAAGTGAGAACAGGTGTTTGCATGGCACTATTGTAGCTGGCATTGTAAGATATTTACGTGCTAGATGCGCTAAAGGTTCATGTGTCCCTTCATGCTTCAATCACCATTCCAGGGGACATGCGTCCATGCTGATGACAGGTTCTGCTCGATAACAATCCAAAACAGTGTGGACTGACACATGGTCATTTTCATTATCTGAGTATGATGTCACCAGCAAAAGATTGATTTTCTTTTTTGGTGGTTCGGGTTCTGTAGGTTATGCAGCGGAGTGTTGCTCTTTTAAAGACTTCTGAAAGCACGCTCCATACCCCATCCCTCTCAGATTTTGCAAGGCACTTCATATTCTTACACCTAAACTGAAAGCATTTTAATCTTTCTTTGATGATTCAGACGGCACTTCAGGATCTTGCAGTGCCATCATTATCAACATCAATTACCGTTGTAGATGTAGAAGGTGTAGAAGATTGGGCTGAATCTGCAATAACCTTAGGACGCATCCTGGAAGCTGCTTTTCTGAATAAATCCCTGATATCAGCTTGCTTACTTGTCTTCTGCCTCATTTTCATAAAAGGGGAGTGCAGAATGTGCAATTGCATAACCTCCTGGACAGTACACTAGTCCAGGTCACTAGATTGAAGATTTGTATTGGGAGATATCAGAAATGTCGATTAATAGAGCTTTCTGGTTGATTAAGTGCTGGATAACACAACCTTTACTGTAGTTGAGAAATTGAGGGTGGAAGGCAGCTTGGATGAAACTGATCATTAAATGACAGAGCTCATGATTTTAAGGAATGGTAAAATGGAAAAACAGAATAAAGACAATGGACTTCAAGAAGGCAGACTTTAGGAAACTCAGAGACCTGGTAGATAAGATTCCAGGGGAAGCTAGTCTAAGGGAAAAAAAGGGTTCAGGAAAGTTGGCAGTTTTTTAAAGAGACATTATTAAGGGGACAAGAGCAAACTATATCAATTCATAGGAAAGACAGAAAGTATGTAAAAGGCCACTCTGGCTTAACCAGCAGATCTTCAATGACCCGAAACTCAAACGAGATTACACTAGCTTGTGATATAAAGGGTAACAAGAAAGCATTACACAAATGCATGAGAAACAAGAGGAAGAACAAGGACAAGGTAGGCTGATTACTCAGTAAGGAGGAAAAGACAATAACAGAAAATGCAGCAATGGCTGAAGTGTTAAATGCCCTTTTTGTTTCAGTTTTTACCAAAAAAACCTAACAGTGATCAGACGACTAACAGTGAACATCAGTTTCAATGGGGTAGGATCAGAGTCTAAAATAGGAAAAGAACAAGTTAAGAATTACTTAGACAAGTTAGATGTCTTCAAGTCAGCAGGACCTGATGAAATACATCCTGGAATACTTAAGGAACTGGCTAACGAGATCTCCGAGAACTTGTGGAGGATGGGAGGTACCTGAGGACTGCAAAAGGAAAATATAGTACTATCTATAAAAAGGGGAATAAGGACAACCCAGGGTATGAGAGACTAGTCATCTTAACTTTGGTACCTGGAAAGATAAGGGAGTAAATAATTAAGCAATCAATTTGCAAACACCTAGAAGAGAATGAGGTGATAAGTAGCACTCAGCAAACAACCAAATATCCTTTTTTGACAGGGTAAGAAGCCTTGTGGATAGGGGGAATAAGTAGATGTGATATATCTCAATTTGGGGCCTGGTCTACACTGACAAGTTTGTGTGCAGTAAAGCAGCTTTGAGTGCTGTAACTCCCGAGGTGTACACACTGCTAAGCCATTTAGTGCACAGAGACTGCGCAGATGCAGCGCTCTAAAAAAACCCACCCCAACGAGAGGTGTACAGCTTTCTGCACCGTGGCTACAGCGCTGCGGTGCCAGTGTGGACACCGTGGCGATTACAGAGCTGCGACTGGCCTCTGGGAGGTATTCCACAATGCCTGTTCTCACCTCTCTGGCCATCCATTTGAACTCTACTGCCCTGCCCTCAGGTGACCAACTGTCAGCCCCACCTTGTACATTCCTTTGCAAATTTGAAAGTCCCCTTCCTGTTTGCTTGGTGATGCGTGGAGTGGTCTCAGTGCATCTTTCCAGGTGGCCATGCCTGCTCCACGCATCAGGCGATCCCCTGCTTGGAGCAATGCCAAGTGCTGGACCTCATCAGTATTTGGGGAGAGGAGGCAATGCAGTCACAAGCTGTCGGAATTTTGATACCTATGGACAGATTTCTAGATGCATGATAAAAAAGGACCATGACCGGGACACATTGCAGTGCAGAGT